AGACTACAGGCTGTCATTAAGGCTAAGGGTCACCCGACAAAGTATTCATAGTTGTGTAAATACTGTCATACTAACAGTTGTCTGAATTATGTTTGGTTGATTGTAATCTATTACATACCTTTCTATCAAAATTATCAAGATGAATTTGTTCTGACACAGTGTAACTCGGAGTTCTTGTCATATTTTATTACCATTTTCTAAACTATAGCGAATAAACTGATAATGTGAGAAATGTTGAAGGTGTCTGAATAAATTTTGGTTTGACTGTATCTATTTGATAAATGAAGTTAACCAACTAACATTATACACACCCTTTTGGTTTCTGTACCCAATATTTAAAAATGTACAAATGCAATAAAAATATCGGTATCGGTACTCGGTATCGGCAAGTACCAAAAATAAAAGTATCGGTATCGGGCGAGTACTGGAAAAAGTGGTATCGGTGCATCCCTAATAAATATATTTATTAAGCATTTATAACATGTGAGTTAAAAAAAATGGCTCACTATTTGGCAGGTATTGCATTAAAATCACCCTTTTCATGCATTTATAACTTCTTATCAATGATTTATAATGCAGACCTTAATGTAAAGTGTTACCAAAATTATATTTAATTTCTTGCTATTCACGGCAAAAGTTGGCAAATCTACTTCTACAGGCTACTTGTTATACTTTAATAATAATCCTGAGTGTATAGGGATGTAAAAAATCATGTAAAAATCACAATATAGATGTTTATAAGTGTCTTCAACTACGAGTAAAGGAATTTTTGCTTTTTCAAATGGCACTTCCTTTTGGATAGGATATAGTGTGAACTTTGTGATCTTCATCACAAAGTGTCTGAGTCACTGCTGACGTATTTTTTGCTTTCAAAGTCCTTAGCAATTTATATTGGTTTTGCTAGATGATTTCTCACTTACCTGACATGATAATGCTTCACAACTGGAGAACGTATTTGATTACAAAACAGTTATTCCATGAAGCAAGAAGGAAAAAAAAAAAACATACAATAATTTTTAGATTATTCATATCTTAAAGAGTAACATTACTGGTAACATCCACATGATCACATTTACAGTAATCCCAAAATGTATTTGAATACTTCTTGAATGCTTAAGTCACACATTGGATAATGAAACATTTTGCATCAGACAGGCTAGACTATGGAAGAATATAAGAGATGGTGTTATTTTCCCAGCTGTTTTAGTGAGAGAGCAGTACAGAGAGAGGCTATGCTAATGTGTCATTGTTCCCAGGTAATATTTCATGTTTTTCCATTGTTCATCACAGTAACATTTAATCATAAGAAGTTATTTTCCTTAAAGGGACAGTTCACCCAAAAATGCTAATTCTGTCATTATCTACTTTTCCCCACCACAGTATACAGACGAGTTTTTGGCATGGAACTGAGTCAATATTAATATTTTATCATTGTTTTATCCGTCAGCTTTTGAGGGGTCGGGCACTGATGATACCACAGCCACTACGCCAGAAGGTACTCTAATCTTCAAAGTCTGACATCCCACCAGCAGACCTAAAGGCTAAATAGTAACGCTTAATCATAAGAAGTAATTGTCCTTAAAGAGACAGTTCACACAAAAATGCAAATTCTGTCATTATTTACTGTTGTGTTAATGGTTCAGATTCTCTAGACTTTTTTTCACCACAGACAATAGTTTTGATATGGAACTGAATCAAGATTAATATTTTATTATTGTTTTGTCTGTCAGATCCTGAGGGATCGGGTACTGATACCACAGACTTACCTGGTACCACAGACACTCCTGCCACTACAACACAAGGTACTCACATCTCCATAGCCAGCAGCTCCACTAGCAGGACCAAAGGCTAGATAGTAACTTTTAATAATAGGACATAGTTGTACTTAAAGCAATAGCTTACCCACCATTACCTCATTACAACCCTGTATGATTTTCTTTTTAATGTGGAACCCAAAAGAAAATATTTTGACAAACTGTACTGGCTCTTTTCCATGCACTTATAATGAATGGGGACTGAAGGTTTTAAAGGGGTCATATGATGCTGCTAAAAAGAACATTATTTTGTGTATTTGGTGTAATGAAATGTGTTTAGATATCATCCTATTTTGGAAGACCAAACAAAGTAGTTTCGCTTTCACAACGAAGCACACAGCATCTTCAGGACATGGTGGCAGCAACAATACTACAGCGAGAATAAAAGTTATGCCTTCTTTCTTTGCGTGAACATTTGGCCGGCGTTATGCAAATCTTCCCAGATAGTGACGTAGGTATGTGGTATGTGGTAGGCGTGGCTGACTCTTAACTTTTATAAAGAATATCTCTTTGGATTTGAGTCTTTGCAACTTTACAGATCTTCTTTATGCACCAAGATCTTGTATCACTCCAAAGAGAAAGGAAAAACTGAAATCGCATCATATGAAGCCTTTAAGCAAAAAGGGTCACCATAGGTTCAAAATGTCCTCTTAGAATAACCATATTGTTTATTCCTTTTAAAGGTCCCTGTGATTCAAGTCCTTGTATCGGAGACAGTACCTGTGATGCACGGTTTGACGGCACGTTTGTTTGCATCTGCCGGCTTGGGCTGGTTTACAATCAAATAAGCGGCTGTGTTCAAAGTATGACTGGCTCACTTTTGAATCATTAATACTTCAGGCTATTGAGATTGCATAAACCAGTCAGCCTTGGTACAGAAATTAAGCTTATTAAGAATCTGGTGACTAAAATTTATTTCGTGTCGTGTGACCTGACTTTAACAATTAAAGTACAATAACTACCTTGCTGTTTTATCATTATGCATTTGGAATCAATGAACACATTCACATAATACATTTGGTATCATTAAACACATTAATATGTTTTATACTCTTTTTTAAATTTTATTATTATAAATTGCAGCAAAGGTCTTCCCTGGTAGTTTAACGTTGTCTGCGATGTTTAAACCAGAAATGACTGACAGGAAGTCTAAGGAGTTTCAAATTGAATCAAACAGAATAGAGAATGAGGTAAGAGACTGAATTTCCTCTTGGGGAAGGATTGAAGTTTAGTCATTTTTCCTGCTTAGTAAAGGATGAGTGTTATAAATAAATGGTTGTAAACAGATAACAGTTTATGTCAAAAAGCATTGCTTTGTATATTCTCAATCCAAATACAGCTCAGTATAGTCCTTAATGGCAATGGCTACATACGTTCCATCGTTTTGAGTCTAAGGTGAGTAACAATTGTCACAATACTAGTATTTGCTTTAAACACTTACCTGTTGATCTTATAGCTACTTACAAAGAACAGAATTTTTATTTTACTTATTGAGGAATATAAGTTGCAAATAATAGTTGCCAGTACCGTTATGTTCTGAAGTTTTGAAGCTTCGATATGGTAGCTAGCTAAAAACTAGCGCGTTGAAAACTGTTAGCAGTGCTTTACATCCCCACAGGCATTATTTCATATAAAATGGGCTGGATAGATTGTGTGCTTTTCATTGTAATTTCCTTGCATCCACCCTTACAGTCAAGGCAGTATAATTGCAGAAGTGCAGAATTTCTATGACATGCCATCCACTGTCACAAAAGAATTGGTTGAATCTCAGATTCAAGAAGCAATTCTTGAAAATAAAATATCAGGCGCCACTGAATTCAAAGGTATGTCTAATGCTTCTTGTCATTTGTTTTCCAGCAGTACCAGAGTAATGAATTGTTTATAAAGCATTAGAAAGAAGCATACATTAGTAAGTTTCACGTTTTTACTTAATTCACAGAAAACTCAGTGTGTGATCTTGGAGCTTGTGACAGTACCACCACAAACTGTGGGGAACTGGTTAGTGGTGTTGCAATGTGCACTTGCAAAGAAGAATATGTCAGATCACAGGCCACATCTCAGGCCTGCCTTGGTAAATGTCTTGAAACGTAAATCTTTGTTTACTTACTGTTATGTACACACAACTTCAAAACACTCAGACTGGTTCTCATCATTTTACAATTGTGCTCTCATCTCCTTACAGCTTGTCCAAATGGGGAAAAGGCAGTGGATTCAAAAATCTGCGAAAAGTAAGCATTTGGAACATGTCATATGCAGATTTTCATGATTTAGAATATTAGAATAATAGAATAGTCTTATTAGAATAATTTCATGAAAATTCCATTAATATTGTCCTGGGCCCACTACGGTCCTCTATGCTATAACGTACTCATTATGCCCATCCAAGAAAAATTTCCTCTAATCCCTGTGAATTTAATTGACAGATCTGTAAAATATATATTAAAGTCACCATGAAATAATTATTTGAAAAAAAAAATTTTAATGGAATATTGCAGTGTTTACTATATAGAAGATTATCAGTGCACATCATACATTTTTCCAATGCGCCCTCATAAACTTTAATCAAAATAACTCGCAGTGACATCTTTTCTCTGATTGTCCTCGAGTTCAACGACATGAGGGCGGGACAAACCCCTCCCCACCAGCAACCTGTCACTCACATGCGATTGCAGCAATAGACCTTAGTCAGGTTAGAGCCATATTTAATTTTTGACAGGAATGAAAATTATGCTGTGAGGGATGGAAGTACAGTGCGTTCACCTGACCGTTGTTTGTGAGTTGTAAAAATGATATGATATAGGACCTTTATACAGTGTGTGCCATTGTAAAGACTGTAAGCCTATCCATCACAGCATTGTTTTATTCATGTTAAATTTAGGGTGTACTCACACTAGGCGTTTTGAACCGTGCCCGAGCGCATTTGACCCTCAAAGCCTGGTTTATTTGATTAGTGTGAGCGCTCCGTGCCGCGCTCGGGCATGGTTCGTTTAGCCGGCCCTGGCCCGGTTGTAAGAGGTGGGCCAGGGCACGGTTCGGTTGGGCTCGGGCGCAGTACGCATGCAGTGTGAGCACTAACCGCGCCGGAGCACGGAACAGATACTATTTTGTGTGCGCTACTGTCATCATTACGATCGCAAACATATTCTATTACTACTACTACACTACACTTTTCAATAAATGTAATTTAATCAAGTATATTTAGCTTTATAATGGCTCTGGTTCTTACCTTATTGATGAACAGGAAATGTAGTTTGCGAGTAAAGCTGCAAATTATTTAATGAACGTCAGCTGCCTCCGTAATAATTTTCTGATACATACAAATGAAAATCAATGTACGGCATACATTATAAATTAATTATTATTAATTATTCGGCAGAATATTAGCAAAAGTGGTTTTCTCCGTTATCTCATACATGACGCAAGCGTGCTCCAGCCCGGAATGTTTAGTGCAAGTGTGAGTGCAGGCCAGCGGGGGAGTGGGGAGGGGGGATAATCACGCTCGGGCTCGGTTCAAGGCAACTGTGCCTAGTGTGAGTACACCCTTAATATTGCATCTCACCTGATTAAGGTCTACAGCAAATAGTGTTGCCATCATAACGCCAGAGTGTAAGATTGCCGATACACCATATTATTGTTTGTGCATGCGTGGGTGGGTGAGGGTCAAGAGAGAGACTATCTGAACTTGTCATAGGCTATTTCATAACTTTTTGGTGTTTTAAACCGCGTGTGCATGAGAGAAAGCCTATGGAAGTGCCAATGATTGAAATAATATACTTTCAAACATACTGATAAAATAACATGTTAAATATAAAACTATTTAAAACAGCGTTCATATATATTTGGATACAACAGTCATACATCGCTATTAGGACCGCAAGTCCTGTGACAAGTTTGCCGCATCAGAGCATGGAAGTTATCAGTCTGGTCTGCAAAATCAGTCAACGGTGAAAATCAAAAGTAGATTTATTTTAAAGACCAACAGTTTAACACTAAATATTGGACATAAACTAACATGTTAAATATAAAAGTATTTAAAACAGGTAAGTTCATATATTTGGAGTAAAGTTAAATTAAAAGGATACATCAGTCATACAGCGCTCCGGACCCCACACCCCATGCCGAGCCCTGTTTTAGACTGATAACTTATTCTTCATCATTTTTGTTTAAAAAATATGCATATAATAAGCATCAATATTTTTGGTTAATGTGCTGTAAAGAAAACCAAATGCTGATGACGATGCCGTTTTCGGCATGTTCATTCATACAGCTGTTCAAGAAAAGATGTCTCGAAAAGATGTCTCTTTTAGCACTCTTGACATAATTTGTAAATATAGGTTTATGACATTGCAGTTCAATTTTGATGTGGCCTTAGTTTTATAGTCTGTTTTTAAAACATTTCCAATGAGGAGAAGCCTAATCCTCCTTTGCGCGTGTGTGTGTGAAGTGAGGTGCGGTGAAATAGCGGGGCAATTTGATAATAATAGCTGAATAATAATAGGCCGCCTAATAATAATAATAATAATAATAATAATATAATACATTAATAGGAGAATGAGCCTAATATCATCTTGACTGTCAAAAAAGACATCTACTATCTTCGATTTCAATGACTATCGTCGATACACAATACTAGAGTCTATCGTCACAACCCTAATAGCAAACAACAACAATCCAATGATCCAATTAAATCCTGCCCTACATTTTTTCATTGTTTTACTTAAATATGTCACAATAAGGAAGAAAAGACAATTGCAACTTCTGTTTCAACCTGAATACACAAGACTACACCATTAAAATTATTTTTTGAAAATCATATCAGGCAAAAAGTGCTCCTTACGTAAACAGCTGGCTGTATTCATTATTTACAGTGTAAAACTCAAGCCTAAAAAACATCTGGCAAAAACAAACGTAATATAAATGTTGTTATGGGTGTTGCGGTTGCTCAGTATCACTAAGAGCTCTTTTGCTAATTTTAGATGTCCATTTGGCTATGCTGG